GGATTTGAAAAGAAAAATTCGTTCAGAAACACCGTCACCTTACAATCTCCATTCATTTTTAAAATAAAAATGAATAATTATTCTCTTTTTAAATACTAGCTTCTCAAATTTTTATATGTCTCATGCTAAATACTAGCTTTTCTCTTTTCAGATACAAGCTTTTAAAACTGCTATATATGTCTCATAGGTGGGAAGAAAACCTAGAGTCTCATTTCAGAAAATATATTCGAAAATAAGAAGAAAATGTTTTTTTTTAAATAAAAGCTCCGTAAAATGTGTTTATATCAGAATAATAGATCTCAAGAAATAATCATTTTAAGAGGAGAGATAAAGATTAGAATCATGAATCTTTAAAACTTAACATTTAACTTATTACACCCAGTTTTAACATTTCATTTAACCCCATTTTTTATTTTGTGGTGCCGTGCCAGACATAAATGAGAAAAAGCGTTTATAGATTATTAATAATGCGAGAAATGACAAAAGTCTCAAAATATGCACATGCGCACGAACGTCTTTCATTTTTTTTTTTTTAACTAGTTCTTGCTTTTCTTCATTTACACAAATATCCAGAAGCAACGTTTACGAGTTTGATAATTCAATCAAAAGATGATAAATTACCGTAAAAAAATTATCCAGGAATTATTTTTGCTTTTTGATTCGTTTAGAAATGTTTCGTGTTTCTTATTTCTCTCTATTTTTTTATTTTTATTTTTATTTTCTTAGCTAAACTATAAACAAAATTAACACCGGCGGCTTATTACGTTCAGTAAAAACAAAAAAAAAAAAGAAGAAATTATGAGATTAATGATGAGTTTGTCTTTTATAAATACATAGCATGAAATTCTGCATACATTATTTGGGATTACCTCACCTTGTCTGCCACTAGACTTCGGTTAACGCCGCTAGGTGGCGTAGCTATCAGCGGTATAAAAGTAAAGAATTCATCGCCACCGGTGAGTGGGTGTGGTTGAATCTCTTTCTTCAAGCAAGGCGACTACTTAATTTCACTAAACCACGGCGTGTTTTCTTTCTCTCTCTCTCTCTGTCTATCTTTTCCTCTCACTCTCTCTCTCTTTCACACACATACACAGAGACTACGGTTAATTCCATAAATGTTTTTTCTCTCCTGTTCTTAACTGTGTGCACGTAAATATAATTTTCTTTCTTGGGCAGTGTGGTTCTTTACAAACACACACACACACACACACACACACACACACACATATACATATATATATATATATATATATATATATATATATATATATATATATATATGTTATGTCATTCACAGACCCTGCTGTTTCACAACTCCTCAGTGTGACTAGACATCCGAATGCCTCAAGCCAGGACCGAAACCCAACGGATTTGGTGTCAATCAGAGTTTCTACCACTAAGCTATCATCACTCGGCAGAGAGAAACAGCTAATTCCAGCGTATTGTTTTTTGCGAATGTAAGCAAACACTCCCTTTTACCTAAGAGCTTTGCATTAGCTTAGGTGGCTGTTGTTAATAGAATCAGCCTATCACTCAATATATATATATATATATATATATATATATATATATATATATATACATATATATATATATATATATATATATGAATAAAATATATATGAAGAAAAATATAAAAAAACAAACAAAAAATCCTAATATGCAATTATGCTGTTTTAATGTTAATATAATGTCGACGTCGGATGTTTCGGTCTAATAGACCATCTTCAGGACATATTCATAAAACATAATTAACATTAGACTATATTCAATTCAACATGAAAAAGACGATGGACTAATCGAAACAGATAACTGAAATTTTTATAAGATCAGCGTTTCTGTTTTAATACGATCACGTCGTCGTCACGTGGGCGATGTTGTGAAAACGTATTCGAAGATGATTTCAAAATATTAGATAAGCTCTATTGAACGATATTCCCATATAAACAGTTCGTTAAGGAATCCTTTCTGTTCTTATAGGAATACTTATATATATATATATATATATATATATATATATATATATATATATATATAAAATAGATAGGTTGGTTAATAAAACAAGGAAAAAGGAAATAACAGAACGTTATAACATTAATAACTGATTGACGTTTGTTCAATGTTATAACATTAATCTGCCTGCTCCATTTCTGTTTTGTGGTTAATGAATAATATATAATAAATGTTTTTCGCCTTCATCACATTGGTACCCTTTCGTTTTTTCTTGTTTTATGAACCAACTTATCTATTCTAAATACTACAAGAAGCACGCGTGGACGTATTCTTCTAAACACACACACACACACATATATATATATATATATATATATATATATATATGTGTGTGTGTGTGTGTGTGTGTGTGTGTGTGTATTGTCATCAACAGACAGACTGTTTCGCTGTATCACAACTCATCAGTGTGGCTAGACGCACGGTTGCCCCTATCTAGGATCAAAATCTGACTGAATTGGCGTCAGTCGGAGATCCTACTCCTAAGTCGTTGGCGTACGGCAGGGATAAAGGGGAATTTAAGCGTATTTATTTTTAGATAAACACACAGAGAACTCGATTCGATTTACCGAAGAGTCTTGTATTATTAGCCGTAATACTCACTGTTTACAAACCCACATTTCCTCCCCAGAGAGCTCAACCGACATTTTTCAGGAGCATATATATATATATATATATATATATATATAATCATACATTTGTTGAATTCACTTATATTGTAAGTTTATGTGTTCTCGCCTGTACTCCCTAAGTTTTACGCGCAACCATTAAATTCCTTCCGCCACACAAGAGTACAAAGTAACTAACAGTTAGTGGCAAGCAACTAATAGTAAACAAAGCAACGTGCCTGTGTAATTAGAAACTAATTTAGTCAAGAAAGATAGAGAAAAAGTAATCGATAGCTTTCCATGCTGTACGTACAGACACGTACCTGTGTACTGAGAATCAACTTGACTGGCTGATTGGTCAATGAATACTAAATGTTTCCTTATAAGTACACGGCTAATATTACTTTTGGAAATGAGACGAACAGATATTACACTTCGTAATTACTTGGCTGCTCTGGCATCGGTGCTAATACTGATCCTTTTCCACTATTTAGTGCAATGACGAAAGTACTACCGCGGGCAGCTTTTCTCCGAAACCAGGCACTGTTCAATAATATTTTCAGTCTCGTTTTGTCTGCAGACAAAGACACAACTGAGTTGCGCTCTGTTTGTAGACAGGGTCACAATTGAGAGATAAAATGCCATTTATCCGGCAGAGGACAGATACTACATTTTGATCCTAGCCCATTGGCCAGAAAGTGAAGAAAAGAGTAACATTGTCTAATTATTCAATGAATGTAAAATAGTCCCAGTTATGTGCGGAAGATAACAGTTCAACTTGAACAGATTAAGAATCTGGGGATCGGAGAAACATCCTTTTGGAAGTCGGTTCCACAGAGCAGTGACTCGTTGGAAGAATCTGTTCGAATAGAACTTACTTATCGCCGATGGAAGACAGAGTAGGTGGTTTGCTATAATGTAAGTAGCATGACGATTCCTTCCAGTGAAGTTTAGGTCTGGAGGAGTCAAAGTAGCGGTTTGTATGAAAAAGCTGCTCAAGTGGAACTTACCAATAAAATATGAACGAAATGAGGGTGCTTCGATAAAATATGAGTGACATGGTGGCTCTTAGACGTGAAGTTTAGAACTGGTAGAACTAAGGAATGTAGTTCGTCCGAACACTTGCCATGGAAATAGCGATAGAGCAGCGAGTGGCTTGCATCGTTTCCGCTGTGAGAATGGGAGAGTAGTATGGAAAATAATTCACTAACCACAAGGACGCTGAGAGGCTTTTGGACTATCAAAACAGGGATTTGAAGACTGGGAATATCCTGACATATATGACAGCAGTACTCCGTCTTTGGTCTAATCTGGCTCTTGCAAAGGTAGAGGATAGTAAAAAAAAAGTCAGGTGCAGGAAACCGATCATTGTTCCATCATCTTTAGCGATGGGTTGCCTGTAGGGGTTCCACTTGAGGTATGGATAGATCTTAAGTCCTAAAAGCCGCCCAAAGGATGGAAACTCCCTGAGAGATCATCGCCATAGGCGAAAGTTCAGTACGTCAATAACAGGATAAATTGTCCGAATGTACAGCCATAATAGTACCCTTCATTGTGGCATTGAGAGGCTTCACTGTATGTTCCTTGACAAAGTAGCAGTACACAGGATCCAATATCATACACCTACTGATAGGATAGCCTCCTTCGAATTTACTCAAAGGTCCGGATCCCTAACTATCAGGCGCATAACGCCCAAACCCCAAAAGCGTTTACCTTCAGCACACCTAATAAAAGAACAAATAATCCAAGGTAAAAGATACAGGTATGATACTCTGAGTGCACATGTCACATTTACCTGGAATTCAAGACAACAGAACTGATAGAGTCAGAAATATGGTACCAGGCTGAGACCTCAGATGCCAAGACAGGATCTCACTGATATGGGAGAACTAAAAGACCTTCTGGGAGAAGTGGGGGTTAATATATGTTCCTTGGAAGTTCTTCAGCGTACCTTTTCCTCATTACCAACTCTCATTACCACGTTGGTGTTAATACTATGATTACCATTACGATGCATTGGTTTTCAATAAAATATTTGCCTCCGGACATAACGACAGGTGTTCCAGCACAGGTTAAAGCTAGAATTTCGATTCCTAGTTATTAAACTATAACCACACAAACGTAATCCACGGTCTGGCCGAAAAAAAGGCTCAGTTTAGTAAATATTATCACGTATCATCCAGGCATTTAATATTTGGTTTGAGTGACAAATATCAATTATTTTTATTTATTTATTTAAATTTTTGTAGCTGATCCACTGCAATCCCCTAAAATCCCTAAGATTTAATTTTTTTTAAATGATCTTTTTACCTCATTTTGTTTTAATTCGATTTCTGGTTTCAAATGCGGTAATTTTTTAGATGGTGTTTACTCATTTCAAACAAAAGCCATAGATAGATATATAGATAGATAGATAGATAGATAGATAGATAGATAGATAGATAGATAGATAATGAACAGATTGAGATAGAGAATGAACAGACTGAGATAGATAGATAGATAGATAGATAGATAGATAGATAGATAGATAGATAATGAATATAATGTGATAGATGATTAACTGAATAAGATAGATAGATAGATAGATAGATAGATAGATGATTAACTGAATAAGATAGATAGATAGATGGATAGATTAACTGAATAAGATAGATAGATAGATAGATAGATAGATAGATAGATAGATAGATACATAGATAGATTAACTGAATGAAATAGATAGATAGATAGATAGATAAGATAGATAGATAGATGATTAACTGAATAAGATAGATAGATAGATAGATAGATAGATAGATAGATTAACTGAATGAAATAGATAGATAGATAGATAGATAGATATGCGTAGATGGAAATAGAAAGAGAGCAAATATAACTTTACCCTTAATATTAAATTGATACATAGATAGAATGAATGAGAATGAAACCGTGACATGCTACATGTAAACGGATACAAGAAAGAATGAATCTGGTTTCCTTTTAAAACTTTAAAATAATAAGCACAACTCTAAAAAATGAATTCTCTCACGAAAGTATGGTCGCAAGTCTATCACGCAATCCATTGCTGGCCGTTTGGCGATTATCTATCAGACTGTCTGCCAAAGACGTGATTGATTGTCAAAAAACATCTAATCGAAAACCTGAAAGAAAATAATTAGTCATGTGGGGAAAAAAATCGGAGTAAAATCTATCAAGTGATTTTATTTCACCAAAAATCAAAGCAATAAATCCACTAAGACCCAAGACGTGTACGCAGGTTCGAATCCTGTCGGAGAGCGCTTATTTTCCTTTAATAAGATTTCTCGAATATTCAATTAGGTAGACGAAAACAAATTTACTGCTTAATAAATAAACGTAGCAAATATTTGTATCCAATAAAAATAACGTTTAAGTAATAAAATATATAAATGTATAATAAATAATACTTATAAAATTATTTCCTTTATTCATTTCGCTCCAAGCAATACAATAAAGCCATAACACATAATACCTACGTGGCAGCAATATTCAAAACTTGGACGAATGGTAAATTTTCAAATATTGTTTTATAATAATAAAATGTCGCTGCATACACTTGAGTTTGAACATAGATCGCCAGTGAGCAAACACAGGCGATCCCATTATTGAAATAAAGAGACTACGTGACCATAGAGGAAACGCATATATTTAGGAAGTCGTGTAACGTCTAATTGATCGCGTTTTCTACTCTGTCCTTTATTGCTAGACGGTTTGGTTTGGTTTGGTTTGGTTTGGTTTGTTTTACGGCATATCAACCTCAATGGGTCATTCAGTGCCAACAATTGTCAAAAATCTATTTCTGGTAATAATTTTCCTAAAAAATGTATAGTAATATTATTTTAAAGAATATATTGCTGGTAATTTTTTTTCTTTTCAAAAACACATTGCTGGTAATAGCTTTTTTTTCTTCAAAAATTTATTTCTGGTAATAACATTTTTACAAAGTATTTCTGGTGTTAAAACCTATCTTTACACTTTCATAATGCGTTTTACCTCAGTTTCGGGGTTAACTATTTGCCCATAGCTGGGACCCTAACAGGTGCTACCACCCCGGGTGAGCGTGGACCTGAGAACACCGGCAATTAAGATGTGGTTCCACTATTACTATTCGGACTGCTATTCTCTATACCCTTTCTCTATTCGGACCACTATACGGTGGTTACTTTTCGAGTGAATATTATCGAGCAAGTACTATTAGCGCAAGTGTTATTCGAAGGCGTCTGACACCAGTATTGTTCAACGGCGATTACAAATTCTCTGCTAAAACGAGCATTTCGAAAGTGACAACGAGTATCCGATGACATCACAAAAGTGGCAACGAGAGTTCGCTAACATCACTATAAATATGTAAAATAATTTCTGGAGAGAAAAATTGTCTACCTCGATAGAGTGACACAACTTTCTTAGCAGCAGACCTAGTAATTAGTTCAATAAACTTTTTCCACTTAATGTCATCAGAGAATTTCAACCCGAGAAGACTCAACGAGTCACATTCCTGGAGGTTAGCCTCAGCCATGCTGATGGAAGGCTGAAAGCGGTCTCTCGGTTGATTAATAGAGACGTTTCGTTTTGAGGTGTTAAAATTAACAAGCCATTCTTTGCCCCAATTAACAGCAGTTTGTAGGCCATTTTTGAGATCAGCTTCCAATTTCACCTCATAGAAGCGATCAGACTTACTATAAATAGTTGTGTCAACAGCATAGATGGCTAGCTGAGAATTAATGCCACCAGGAATGTCATTCATCAAAATTAAGAAAAAAGTAGGTCTAAGAATAGATTCCTCTGGAAAACCTGTGTTAGTACAAAAAGATCTAGAAGAGTGGCCGTTCTGGATAACTTTCATTTCTCGATTTGATCAAAAAGACTGAATTGTTCAGAAATGACATAACAGGAGCCAGTCCAGGCGCACATTTCTTAGATTATTGCAAGAATACTATCAGGTCCATATGCTTTGTGGGGAGCTAGATAAGATACATTGTAAATGCGTTTACAATACATATCTATCCGAAATAATTTCACTATTAAAACATATTGTAAATGATTTTGACATAGAATTGCACAGAGAAATATTTCACTATTGTTATATAGGAAGAAAATCAACAACTACCGACACCGAGGTTCGAACGCAACAATCTGGACTTATGAATAGATGTTATTTTTCCACTAGGTCTATAAATAGCGGTGTCAGGCTACTGACTGTGATGATTATTGAGTGATTATGAAGTGGAACTATCCAGTTGAATTAGTGTGAATTATTGTGCGTCGATGATTTGGGTTTTGATTTAGGATTTACTGAACGTTAAATCAAGACAAAGTATTCAGTGAAATGGTTAATTATTTTTTGGTTGACTTTTACCTCTTTGTTCTTGTTAAGTATTTATTATTATTATTATTAGAGAGAGAGAGAGAGAGACTGATGGAGAGATAATAATTATAGTGATGTCTATAATGAGAAAGAGAGCGTGAGAAAAAGAGAGAGAATAGTGGAAAGAAAAATGATTATAGTGATGATGTCTATAATGAAAGAGAGAGAGAGAGAAAGAGTGAAAGATGTGGAGAGAAAATGATTATAGTGATGATGTCTATAATGAAAGAGAGAGAAAGAGTGATAGATTTGGAGAGAAAATGATTATAGTGATGATGTCTATAATGAAGGAGAGAGAAAGAGTGAGAGATGTGGAGAGAAAATGATTATAGTGATGATGTCTATAATGAAAGTGTCATAGAAAGAAATTGAGTAACCACCGACACCGAGGTTCGAGCGTGACACTCTGGACTTATGAATATGTTTTCCGCCAAGTGTATAAATAGCGGTGTCAGGTTACTGACTGTAGTGATTATTGAGTGACTATTGAGTGTAACTATTCAGTCGAATTAGTGTGAATTATTGTGTCGATGATTTGGGTTTGATTTACGATTTACCGGACTTCAAGCGGAACCGCACTACTAACAAGATATTCACTGAAATGGTTAATTATCTTGGGTTGACTTTTACTTGTTAAGTGTATATTTGCTGTTGTAATTAAATTCTGTTTTATTTTAACATTGAAGTCTTGAGTTATACTTAATTATTAACGGCCACCGTGCGTCACAAAAACTATGAAAATGAATCATAAACGATGTTCATATACAAATATATAACAAACTATTTCACTATGAAAATACACTGCAAATGATTTTAATATACCAATAGGAAATGTTTACGCTTCACGGTACTTCCTCGATTATCCGTACCTTGATTTTCAAGATTCGATTATCCGGACATGAAACAAAGAAAAAAAGATCGAAGTCAACCAATTTTTCAATTTTTGGATGAATTTTTGAGATGAGGGGTTATTATTATTTATATTATTTATATTCGGATCCTCATCTTTGTTGTTTGTATCATAACCACTTCTTTATGCCCTCCCGCCTTTATCAGATGTATCTCGATCTGGGTAACCTACAGAGAATTCTAAACCGAACCCTTTATTTAATCTACGGGGATGGACTGTTCTCGTTCCACTACTCATGTCTAAAGATATCGTCGAGTTTCTTATTTGTATTTAGTCATGTTCAGTCATCGCCTGCTTGTTTCCATTGAATACAAGTACACACTGCCCGACCGAGTGTCACTAAATTCACAATTCATTTTGAGAATTTAGTATACTGCACTAAATATATAGAAGCGTTGATAAAATCAGTTGAATTAATTCTTGTTAATTTCATCGCCGTTTTCATGCCAACATACATTGGAATTATCATAAGTTGGTCACGCTACCGATTATGGCTTAAGCAACTCTCAGACAGACGGAACGCACGTGAACTATGCACAATTTCAAACACCAAAGGAACAATTAACCAGAAGCGACCGTTACAATTACTTAAACTTTAATCCGGCTTCCGTAGTATGCGACAGAAAAACGTGAGTTCAACCGGAAACGCAAACATTAACCCATTTTTCTTAATGAGAAAACAATAATTCAACAAAGCGCCTGAAAAAAGTTTATTTGAATATATAAATGTTAAATTTCTTTTTGAAGACGACATCCTTCTTCATTTTCTTCTTTTTTCCCAATAAATGGCGTATTCACTTATCCGGAACTGGTTAGTTGATTGGCTGTTTTTGGGGGGTTTTGGGGGTTTTTTGGGGGGGTAGCGGAATATCAAAAACTATGGGTTAAACTCTGTCTACATTTCTGAGATTAATTATTTACACTATTTACATTTTGGGGATTTTTGCCCTCATCTTTATTGACATATTTACAACGTTTCGGCCGTTGTACGCTCCCGCCTTCTTCAACTGATAGATGTTGGATTTTCGAACGGAACCTTTTATTTAATCTAGCTCCGTGGACTAAATAAGAGGATTCGATTCGAAATTCCGACGTATACCAACTGAAGAAAGCCAGAGTGTACAACGACCGAATCGTCGTGAATATGGCAATAAAGACAAGGACAACAGTCCGAACAATGTAAATAGTGTAGAGACTTTGTGGGTTATTTAATGCCGAAATCTAAATATTTTGTACGGAATTTTTTTTTTATTTGAGATAATAATAGTTTCAATAACAGAAATCTTACTAAGGCTGAGGAGGAGAAGAGGTAGATTCCTAATCTTCATAAGGGTGTTGGCGCGTAAGTGAATATAAGGAAGCCATCGGGAAGTGGAACTCGGCTTTCCGATTAAAAATTCCGAGTCATTATCCATTACATTAGCCGTACATCCAAGCTTACAGCACCTGGTATTCCCAAGCGGTCATTCTTACCAGACGTTACTTACCTTCGCTGATCGTATAAGAACCGTTGTTTCAACGTGACGTCATCTAAATATATATAGCAAATGATTTGATATTCGAATCTATTCTCAATAACTTCATTATACAACTATATTACAAATTATTTTAATACACAAAATGCAAGTGTCACATTCTCAAAGTCCACTTTCGGTATGTCCTGTGCGTGTCACGTTCTTAAAGTCCACTTTCGGTATGTCATGTGAGTGTCACGTTCTCAAAGTCCACTTTCGGTATGTCCTGTGAGTGTCACGTTCTCAAAGTCCACT